ACTTCTCTGACTACTTCTCCATCACTTGCGAAGTTCAGAGCGGATCTCAAGACCCATCTGTTTTCAAAATTCATTGAGGAGCGCTGTTGAACATCGCGGAAATAGCGCTTTATAAGCTAATTGATTGATTGTTGATTGATTGAGAGTTAAAAGCTTAACTTAAGGAATAGAGTGTAGAATCAAAAAGATTATAGTAGAGCAAGTTACAATAATCAATCCTAGATAAGACTACCGAAGTAACAAGAAGGAAAAGAGTAGGATCATCAAGAAAAGGCAAAAGTTTTTTATTCTACGTAGATAAAAGTAAGAATTTCTTGCAACACTATTAATCTGAGAAAAAAAAACATACTAAAATCAAAGATAAAGTCTAGACCACGAAACTTGTGAGACATATCAAGAGTTTTAGAATCAGGTAAGATAATGGGAGGAATAGTAATAGAGTGTTTAGATTTATTAAAACAAATTAATTCAAATTTAGATAGATTAAGTTTAAGATACACAGAGTCAGACCAAGCGATAATTGAAGAAAGACAAAGAGACAGATTATGAAGAACACTATTGAAATTAGATGGATTAGATGAAGCGTATCAGGTATTACATTATTATTCAGTAGTCACGTGAAATTTAAAAAAAATTAACGAGTGGACTAAGTATGGAGCCACGAATAACAAAATTGAACAAGATATGTATCAATATATTAATGAACAATATAATGACATTCATATGATATTCATATATAAAATTTTATATTAATATAAATAAATAGAAATTGTCTGCATTCTAGCATTGGTCAAATTCAAACTTTTTCAAACTTATAATAAAACAATTTTTTGCAGTTCTGTTGATATGAGTTGAAAAATCAGAAAAATTAATTTTATGGTATAAAACTCTATATCGTATTCTATGGTTTCATCAAGATCAAACTTTATTTAAAAGTGAATGTAATATTTTTTCCATTTCAATTGAGTGCATTCTTAAAAGTACAGTCATTACACATGTATATATATATATGAATTATAAACTAGCGACTAATATTTGTTTCCGATTGAACAACCAAGCTTTCAGTTATAGCAAGCAGTTGAACAACAATGATGAACATGACACGACTAACGGAAACTTTCACGTTGGATGAAATAACATATACAACACATACATAAAACTCAAATTTTGATTAGTGTACGATTACAAACTGGAAGCTATTATACTGTTCAAAAATATTTTCAACAAATTCAACAATTCAAAAAAACAATTTCATAGCGTTGTAATTTTGTAAATTTCAACACCACTGAAAACCTCTCACTAATTTAGCCATATTACTTCATTATTGTACTTTTGACCTTGCTACGCTGTGTACTTTGACTCTTTTGCTTCTTATCTCTATGTTTTTTTCAACTTAACTAGATTGATTTTTTTCTCAATCAATGTATTTAAAATTATAAAAATATTTTCATTCTGTGTGTATTTTCAGACCATTTCCTTTTCATTGCGAAACCAAACTTTGTAAACTAATAATGTTGTCGTATTCCATCGTTATGTATACTTTTCCGCAAAAGTAAAAATGGTTCACATATTTATTCCAGAAAAGTTTTTCAATTGTGAATAGGTGATTTCCAGTAAATAAGTAACAACTAACGATAACTGTTACTTATTAGATATCAAATTGATGACGACCGTGTTGTTGCAAAGTGACTTTTTGTATTTGTTGCTGCCAAGGTCAATGTGAATGCTACCGCGATGGAGGTAGTCTTTGCAATCTCTATCTTCGTTCCTCACACCATCACAGTACGGGTGGCAAGAATGAAAATTCATTTGAAGCATTTTTAATTTTTGCTTTTTGTTAGAATGTAAACTGTTTCTGTTGTTAGTTTGAAAGTTATTACAAGTTGAAAATCTTTTTCCACGCTCCACACAACACCTGCAACATGCAGTCATGTTTCTCCTCTTCTTACAAGCAGTTGTATGAGAGCTTGGAAAACAGCAGAGCAGGTGACAGAGTGCCGATAACAAGCATGATCTCCATGATAGCAACATCTTCTTCAGCTCCATTCGAAACTTTTGACCGGTGGCACAGTAGAGGAAAAAGTTGGAGGAGTGGTTGAGGAACATCAGCATTTCTGTGAGGGTCGAAGCTAGCAGGAGGCTACAAAAGTTATAAAAATCGATAGAAAATAATTATACAAACAAATTCAGAAGACAAACTGAAACATTAAAAGCTTTTTTGGTCTGTAATTTTATTCGAATGTTGCGATTTGTTAAAATGAAAACATTGAGCAACATTAAATCCTAATCAAAATTTGGTTGAACATGTAAAAAAAATTTCAATAACTATACTTTGCATGCGTATGTGATTGGTCATCATTGTAGATTCCAGCACCACCCTCACTGCTACTAATATTCTTTCCAAGTGCATCTTCATCTGCGCTGCCAGGTGAGGACAACAGCTCCGAATGTTTGCTGTAATTGGACCAGTAGACGAAGAGGAAGTAGATGTTCCTGGGCAGAGTCATGAGGATGAATGCGAAGGAGATTGTGAGCAACATGATACTAAGCATGCGGTTTGTTTCGTTCTGTTCCATCCTAGATGCCTGCTCAACTGATGACAATCTGCTTGCTGATTGGTGGGTTAGTTTGGCTTGGTGGCGATGCTGCGAACTGTGGAGACCACGTACTGTTGAGTGATCTGCAGATTGATGGTTGTTCGTGCTTGGGCTTAATGACGTTTCAACGGTTGAAACTGCCACTTCGCCTGGTTTTGTCGGGTTGTTGCGATGATTCTTTGATTGTCTCAGTATTCTTCTTAACAAATTGTCAGGTGGTGTTGTGCAAATAGTTTGTTCTTGTCGTTTCAGTTTAAAATGTTTGGAAATAGCATAGGAGTTTTGTTTATGTCTTAAAGTTTGTTCATCCTCCAGATTGTTTTTGATCATCACTGAAGTTTCGTTGTTTTTTGTTCCAACTTAAAAAATGAAA